TCTTAAACCAAACTTGAATTGTCGTAAAAGTACCGAAAACCGTTTCGATTTGCCATGCTGTCACCCCTTATACAAAATGATATCTCCCGAAGAGTGACGTAATCGGCTTACATATTGGTATTTTTCTTTGTCAAAAGTTTGTGGGATTTCAATTTTTCAAGAGAGAACTTTTTTATTCGTTGGGATAATTAGTTGTGCAATGGATTTTATTGAACGGGAGTTGATTTCAAACACACAGGTAAGTTTATCATAACCAAAATTAAGTAGTTTGTTCATAATTGAAGAAATCCGTTTAAAATTTACGATGGTTCAGACAGTAGGTCATTTCTGGACTAACATTGTATAACTTTAGTCATTTGCGGTCAAATGGGATCTTTAGAATTAGACAGGCTAGAAAGCACAACTTACTCCATGACAATCCTTATAAAGCATAAATTGGTTTTAACATATACCATTTTGAGAAGAATTGTGCATGTCCGTCTTCATTAGCCCAAATGGGACTGAAAAGTAAGAGTTTAAACACCATTTATTTCACGACGTTCCATCCCCATCTGTTCGCGACGGAAAATTGAGTTTTTCTTAAACTGTCGACTACGAAACATAGTATGTCAGATCCTCAGATGTGAGCTGACATGAAGGATTTGTAGTTTTACATGAATTACATCCCACTTCTACCTCGTTGTCAGTGGTAACCTTTGATAAAACTTTCCTTTTTATTATACGTCCACATTCATAATGTGAACGTATTATGCCGTCGCCCCTGTCTGTGTGTGTGTGTGTGTGTATGTATGTATGTGTGTGTGTGTGTGTGTGTGTGTGTGTGTGTCTGTGGTTCGCCTACAGGGCGCAATTCTTCATGGATTTTCTTCAAACTTGGTATACTTATTCCTTATACCCCAAGGAAGATCCCTATTGTTTTTGGTGCATGCCCGACCCCCCGGGGCAGAGCCACGCCCATTTCTAGTATTTGTTTGTTTGTCGTCTACAGGCCACATTTCTTAACTAATAATCTTGAAACTTTGCATACACATTCTTTGTACCCTAAGGAACATCCCTATCGTTTGGGGTGCATGCCCAACCCCCAGGGGCAGAGCCACGCCCATTTTCTTTTCGTGTGTCTTTGTGTCGCCTACAGGGCGCAATTCTTACTGGATTTTCTTCAAACTTGGTATACTTATTCCTTATACCCCAAGGAAGATCCCTATTGTTTTTGGTGCATGCCCGACCCCCAGGGGCAGAGCCACGCCCATTTCTAGTTATTCTTTAAGTGGCATTTAGCGATCAGGGAACAAATTAACAGAACACAGTTTTTATGGGATACAATCACTAGTTTATTCTAAAAGCACGACGTTTCCACAAGTATTCTCTTATCGTTATCAATCAAGCAAAAAAAAAACAAAAAAAAAACGTCATGCTTTTAGAATAAAGACATCGATTGTTTTAAAATAAAAATTGTGTTCTGTTAATGTGAACGAAATGTTATACTGATAGCAGTCCTACAACCCAGTTTTATTTCACAGACCCTCAATGCAAACTGGACCATATCAAACAAAACAGGAATGTGGACGTATATTGCTGCGTTAGCGATGCTCTTGTTTCCAATACAGTGCATAGACCAGGTCCAGAAAAGGGGCTAAATTTTGGATGTTTGTGTTGTGTCCAGTTCACTGACATTTAATTGGCTGGTATGCTAATCTAAACAACATGTCCGACTTGATAGCATTATTACCCCGAAATGTTGACAACTATAAAACCTGCCTGCTATTGGGGGTATCAAATGACATCATTTATTATAATATTAATCGGTATCATTTCTGGGGAATCGGTTGTTTATTTATTCCAAAAACCAAGTTTTATCATTAGAAAGAATTGTAGTGGATGCCAGAATGAAGAATTGACATCTTTCAATAAAGGTGAGCTGATTATAATTATATTATTTCTGAAAACAGAACATATGTATTATGAAGTTTAAACATGCATTATGCAAGAGCTAAATCTGATTATTGCAAGTCTTAATTTAGGCTTCAGATGTTATAGAAATTATAAATTAGATCTTTATTTAAACAACAAGACCAAAATCAACTCTGTAGACCCACGGATGGCTCGGCTACAGCTCGGATTTAAATAGGATTTCACTAATTGATTAAATCAGATAAGGGGTAACCTGATGAAAATACGTCAGTTAGATCGAGGCTAAATGATAGAGTGTACTAAGCGAGGCCGCTGTAAAGCGTTTCCGTATGCCATTGAAAACTTTACTTGATATGTAGGTGGAGTTAACGTCTGTCAATCAAACGTTCGGCGAAGGTGAAGACACATTTCGCTACCATTTCTAGGCAAATATTACAACGATGATAACTATGTTCAGAATAAAGTAATTTGACTGAATTTTTCAATATATTGTTCTTTCATCATCTACTTTTGAACTGTTATAGCAAGAATGGCCAACTCTCTATAAATATCTCCCATAATGTATCTTTAATTGGATAAGGATTTGCATGTTTAACCCGAGACAAGGTACATGTACTGTAGTTGTGTGTATTTTCGTACAGAATTTGCAAATACATGTACTTAACTAGATAAAATTTAAATTGCGCATTTCATTTTAAAATTAAAGTAACATTTCTTAAACTGTCATTTTAAATATGGTGAATTAACTTAATGACGAAGTGTTACATATGGAGGCAGACCACGAATTGTAGTTCGTCTATTTATAGCAATTCTCTCTCTCTCTCTTTTCTCCCCTTTTGCATGCCCATTTTTGTTGATTTTTTGGTCTAGAATGGACGAAGAGGGTTTGAATTTACATTTTCTGCCAGGTTTTGGTAAATATTCATAATTTTGAGGCGAAAGGATAACAGGCTTATCAAGTTGGCTACGGCGATATGTACGGCAACTAGTTACATGTTTTTAGTATGCTTTTTCATTTTTGTGTATCTCAAAATTTTGGTGGTCAACCACATACAAATTTTAGTGCAAAGACATGACCATTTGTTCCTCTGTCTGTAGTGAAAAGCATTCAGCCCAACGAAAACTTGGGGAAAAGTTGAAGGTATGCAAAGAGGTCAGAATTAACATTGAAGTCAATGGGGAAATTAATGGTGGTCTGCCTCCATATTGAGACTGTCATATAACTAATATTCTAACCGACCCAATACATAACATATTCTTTTTATTCAAGGAAGAACACAGATACCAGACCAGAGCTGTTATTTTAATTTGAGAGGGGTCATTTCTTCCGGTCCTGATTTTTATACGACTACATGTTCTTGTGGATGTATACTGCTGTCGCCACTGTTCATTTGTCCGGCCATAATTTGTTTGTGGACACTCAACAGGTCACAATTCTTATCCGATGTTGACAGAACTTGAAATATGGGCATATCTCCCAAAAATCTTGGTTTCTTTCGATATTGGCATGTACCAGACCGGGTCTCATTTTTAGCTTGTGGATCCTCTAGAGGTCACAATTTTCATCCAGTTATATATTTATATCCCAAAGATTGGGTTCCTAATGTTGATACTTCAGACCGTAACTTGCTGGATTATGACCACTGATTGTACAAAAAAACCGCCTTTTTGTTAGCTTGTTCTGTCCATCTAATGAAAACGGCATATGTCATACAGTGTGCTATGAGAGAAATTTTGCCCAGGCAACTGCACCATGGCTTACTCTTATATCGAATTCCTACTGCCAAGGGATCTTTTACGCGCACGCTAATGTATACCCTGGCAGTCGGTTTTGGTACCATCCGAACGACTGGACGGCTGTCCTTGTCAGTCCCTCCGTCCGGCACCACTGACAAGGAGAAGCCAGGCCGGAAAATCCCAACGAACTTTCTCGACCAATGTAGGGATCGAACATACAACCTCCAGGCTGGCGAGCCAGTGTCTTACCCACTTAGCAACCGTGGCTCCCAACGATTTAAGATACTGATGATCAATAAAAATGTAGACATTTTAGAATGTTTGGGAGCTTTTGTATACAATTTGTTCATGTCTTTGTAAAGTTGTGTATCTTTGTATAGTTATGTACATGTATATGTATCTTTGCTTACTGCATGTATCTTTCTATTATTTTATTTGTATATGCACATAATCTTGTAATTTTTTTACACAATAAAGTTTCTTCTATTACATCAAATTTAAAAAGCTTAGTATAACTTTATGTAATATTTGAATCAAATTTATTTATTAAATTTTTATTTTATTTTTTTTTTTTCCAACATTTAATTTGAATGTGAATAAAAAGTCTCATATAGAAACTGATCCAAAACCATCTAAATATAGAGCAGTGTAATATGATACTTAGCATGCCCTAAACACCACATCATCTGTATCAGATATTTAAGCTACAACATATTGTCTTTGACAAGTTGATGACAAGATTCTCTTCAACAGAACTGTATTGTCTGTGGGCGTCGCATTCCTAAATTTGAGGAAAAATGGCTAATTTCCACCTAGTCCAAGCACTGAATACAGGCATAAAAGTATCCGTGTATCAGAAATGAACAGTGCGCTTTCCAGAAAGAGTACTGTTCATTTCCGACAAACGAACAATTTTATACAAGCATTTTATACAAGCTCCGCCCCTCGACCAAAACTGTCCTGATCTTCACCGATACACCGAGGAAAGTGTGCTAATAACTACTACATAAACAATTAGTTCTGGGAATAGGCTATTTAGAATACCTAATAGATTAAACATTAGCATTAACTGAAAAGGTGGGGCTTTATCGCATATTTTGTAACATTTTTTTATTATTCTTCTCAATCTCAGAAATTGAGCAAAAGTCAACAACCGTTACAAAACCACGACTTTCACTGGGCGTCTAATGGAAAGATATATGGTATTTGATTTAAACCGTTATACTTTGCAGTGTGAAGTATTATTAGTTTGCAGTACACCCCACATAACAAACTGTAACACAAAGGACAAAATACACTTTTCGTATTTTTTTTATTGGGGGGGGGGGGGTATTTTAAACACTTGTACAACATTTTGAAGTTGATATGGTGGTACATTTATTATCAAATTTACATACAAAAATCCCTCAATGACCATTTCATATAATATTGTTTAACAGGAATTTTCATTTTGGTTCTGCAATAGACTGATATGTTGTGTATACAGATATCAAATTAACGTATTTGAATCTACAGAGTTACGGAAGGACATTCAATATTAATTATTCAAATACCTGACACATGTGCTGTTGTTAGGAATCATAATTTACTAAATTTATATATTCGATCAGTTTTTGAGGAAGGGGTAATTTATTTACAGAAGAATATACATCACGAGTGTGGGACAGACAATTACGAATTACGCTTCTGCATTTGTGCAGTAAAGTCATCTGTCCTGAGAATGAATTGCTGTTTCGTACCGATTCTACCAGATTAGTCTCCCCTGAAAGCTCCAGATTGGTCAGGGTATTAACACCAATTTCACTTCCACATGCTATTAAATACGTCATGATATGTGCCGAACGAGTATTGTGAATGGGACGGATGTCAATTTTATTATTTATGTTGACGTCAGCGCCTGCATTAACTAAAAACTGTACTGCTTTTAAAAATCCGCCCTGCTCTGATAAGAACAGAGCTTGAAGCTCAGCTGTTGGTATTCTTCTTGTTCTTTTATAATAGTCTACTGACGTTGTTAGAATTACTCGTACATGATCTCTGGCCAGTGGATTGCAAGCTATGTGTAACGGTGTATTTCCATTAACGTCTTGAAGGTTCACATCAGCACCACGATTTAATAAATACTTGACACTACTCACTTCGTTGAACACTATACACTGAAATAAAGGCGACCAGCCACTTTTATCAACACTATTTACCAAGGCACCGTGTTTAAATAACATTTCGGCAACATGAAAGTGTTTGCCTTCAATAGCCCTATGAATTGCACAGCGTTGTGTGTCATCGCCGTAATGGATGCAATGAGCAGGTTGGCGTTTAAGAAGTTCACTTGCGATATCTTGGAATCCATAGTAACAGGCGTAATGAAGCGGTGTCATACCAGAACCATCTCGACCATCAATATTAGCTTTAAAGTCTAAGAGTTTATTTACCAACAACAAAGAACCACTCATAACCGCCACATGGATTGGAAACCTTCTCCTGGCAACAACTTCAGGCTTTTCGACATTAGCACCGGCTTCCATCAAAGTAACTGCAAGTGTAGGTTGGAGTGGGAATTTTTCTAGAGCATGGATTAACGGCGTTTTATGAATTAAAATAATACAATCTAGATCAACCCCGTTCTTAATCAATCTGTTTACTTCTAATAAATTATGTGATTCAATGGCACCAACTAGTTTAAATTGAAGCTCTTTCAAAAATCGTCTTCCTATAAAAGAAGCAAATAATAAAAAAAACAAACCAAAACCCATATATGATTTAGAACCTAAATATAATATACACGTAGTCAAAAGATTCGGGACTTAGTGTTGAATAGAACTTTTCAAAAATATATTAAACTACTTAAGGTAATCACATGCGAAGTTTTTAAACACATTCATAAAACTTATTAGCGATATTAAGATAATTTCAATGTTTTGGTCATTTATAGTTAAATCATTAGAGACGAAAAGAATAAGTTTTAAAGTAATGTTATCGTGATTCAAAATAAGTCTTCGACACTGAAACACGAATTATTTATCAATTTAAACCAACATTGATGTTCTGATCTTCCCGGGAAAAGATGAGCTTCTTACGATATCCAATATTTAATAATTTAATAAGTTGATGAGTAGTTATAGACTGTTTTGTAAATAGTAATCAATTTATGATTTTCTCTGTGTGGTTCCCAACGCAGTTAATGAATCTATATCTGAGAACCGGTAAATTTCTAAAAGGTGATAGATAGTACATGTAGAATTATTTGCATGGAAATTTGTCTGACGTTTGGAAAGAGAGTTGTAGTTGGATATGTAAGTCAAGTATTTTTTTTTCAAGATTCCGGAGGTTAAATAATTTGGCCTCGGGGATTTGAGTAGTTGACAAGTCGCCACTTGTTCAGAGATAATAAACCATTCATAAATTATTGATATGTCATCAACTTTACAAATTTTATCATCAGAGTTAAATATTATCAATATTACCTATAGAAATGAAGTAAGAATTTAAAATATAAGATTTGTCAAACGGATGGGTAAAAATGTATTATACATTGAGTGAGGGGGTGTAGTCGACATTATCAAAATTTGAAATAGACCTGTAACAATTTTTCACCAACTATTCGGTTTAAGTGAACGGTAATGTAACCGACTTGATAATTCATCAATGTAACCATCCTTAGCCAAACGAATTTCTTAAGTTCAGAAATTTAGACTGGATTAATACTTTTCTTAGCCTGTCCATGAACATGATTCATCTGACTCTGTTTCAATCTAACATTATTGTTCATGAATGATTTATAATTTGTAGAAATTATAAAAGTATACAATGATCAATATAGAATATTAAAGTGAAAATTTGTTGATCGAAAAGAGTTGACATTGGAGAACATTTAAGAGAAACAGGGACTGTAAGCTTACAATCTTTTCGTTTGAGAAGCGGTTTCAGACGAGTTATTTGCCCCTGAATTTGATTATCACCCTTATAAATATGAAAGTAATAGACTTTTTAATGTTTAGCGGAAATTTTCTATTTTAAAAACACTTGAGTAGATACTAGTGAACTTTTACTCATAATGATGGTATTGTTTGATATGAAATTGAATACATAGTACATGTAATGGATTTTACTGGCCAATCACGTACAAAGCCCATTAGGAAAATGGCAAACCAATACAACTGATATTAAATGGAATATCAATCAAAGGGGTTTGATGTCGCTTTCAGCAATAACCATACTTTTTTAGGTGGTTGCGTTTTGTTTTGTATTTTAATAGTCGTTAGCATAGGCGTGGGAGATCGGGGGCTGGAGGGGGTCGGGGCAATGTATTTCCGTTTTTGGGGTACAAACACCAAAGAATGGGGGAGATTAAGTTGTTTTTTGCTTAACATAATGTAAATTTATATTGTGCTTGTTGTGTCATTGTGTAATGAATTAAAATAAACAACCATCACAGTTTTGTGGAAACTTTGTTTTAGTTAATGATTGATTCATTCTGAAAATTCGGGTGACAAAGAACATTTTCGGGCAAATAGCCTCAGCCCCACCAACTGAGATTGGCCCCCTACGCTATGGTCAATAGTTATTAAGTATGTCGTAAAAATATCGTGGGCATCGTTGATAGCTACCAGTAGTAAGTATGGAACCAAAAATACACTAGCACTTAAACGAACAATAGGGCAGGAGGCTAAGGTGTAGCCTACGCTCTAGAACCTGGAGCTTTTTCGTTGACCGTGATTGACTACCAACCTTTCTTTGATGGTTGCTGGTTATATTTGTTGGGAATTAATTTAGATACTTTAGGTACAGGAGGTGCCGAAGGAGTTTTTTCCATTTCAAATGATCCCTGAAAAAAAGTACTGTACAGAATATATGACGCATAAAGTATTCAAATGCAAGATAAGATAAGATGTTTATTGCATCAAAACGTCCATTATGGACAGGATGCATACACATACACTTAGAGTAGACATAGTGATATACATGTACATTTAATAATACTTATTACATAGACAACTCAATACATTCATACAAACGGTATACTACATGTATATCAAAGGGGTTTCAGTTAGTTAGCTGACTTGACAGTGTGGAATGTGGTCATAACGGCCCCATGCCATAACGGTCAAAAACAGGTTAGGTCAAAACGGAACTACTTTAGTCATAACGGCCAAACAGTTTCGTCATAACGGCCAATAAATTTGGTCATAATGGCCAAAAACTTAAGTTATAACGGCCAAACATTTTTAATTTAATGAAAAACAATATATTTAAACAAACCATCGATGTGGTGCTACAGTTATACAAACCATGTGTCCTGGAGACATAACAACCCAAGCCAACCCGGAAAATTACATGCTATAAAGTGTAATTGTAAGTCAAAGGAAAGGGGTAAGTACTAATTAGTCAACTGATTGGATAATCCCTAATTAGGTACTTCACACCCTATGATCTAAGGTAATATATGAGATAAACATTAATCATTTATTTTTTTTATCAACTAATGGTAAAAGAAATGACCATCTCCAATCCATTCAGATAGGCCGCCCCCCCCCCCCCATTTTGGGCACCAAATGCTGGGAAAATTTGGGCACACAATTGTACTTTGTAAAAGTTGTATAAAATAATATTGCGTTCTTCAATGTGTCCAATTCAACAGCGAATTTATTATTATTATGTAACATACTAAGAACCTAACTACATTTTTTGGGCACCAACCACCACCGCCCCCCCCCCCCAGTCAAAAATTTCCCCGTACGCCTGTGCACACTAATGTGGCTCTCCCCCGAGAGCCTCAAATTTATTCTTTTTCTTCTTCAGAAACAAAAATACCAGAAGTACCATCCAAGGAACCCCATCAGCGCCACCATCACCAAAAAACAGTGAAATCGCTTTTGTATATAAATCTAATGTATTGTATGTATTTTTAATAAAACTAGGAAATATCACGAACTAACTTTTCATCATCCTAGGTCAGTGCTTATGTTGAGACTTAACCTCCCCCCCAAATTCTTAAACCTAACCCAAACTCCTGGTATCAAATATTTCGCACAATTTTGAAGATCCAGTATTGTGCACCCACAGCCCCACACTTGACATTGTAAATCCGATTTGTTTTCCAACTTATCGAAACCCAGTGTGTTCCGTTTGTTGGTATTCCATAGCCCAAACCAAACCCGTTAGATAAAAAATAGATTGCAAGTACTGTAGAATCTGCATTAAGCAGCCACCCAAGGGAATTTTCACAACTGACCGCTTAACGGGAGTGGCCTCTTAATAAAATCTCGTTGCTTTTTGTGCCGACATAAATTAAATATTACGCTTGGATGCATTGGAAGCGGTAAATTTGGCCGTCGCTGAATCTTGCGCCGAACGAAAATTCTTTACTCAAATCTCGGACATAACTTAACGGGAGTGGCCTCTTAATAAAATCTCGTTGCTTTTTGTGCCGACATAAATTAAATATTACGCTTGGATGCATTGGAAGCGGTAAATTTGGCCGTCGCTGAATCTTGCGCCGGACGAAAATTCTTTACTCAAATCTCGGACATAACTTCTGTAAACTTGTCATTTTGTACCAACCTTCGATACTACTGTCTACTATTGTGATGCATTCGATAATATTTATCCATTTTTATGAAGAAAATCGATGAATTCATTTTATTTTATCAAAAAAGCACATGAACAAAAAACATCTCTAATTTTATCTCCTATTTACAGGGGGTGTAACTCTGTATGTAATATTATAGGAGGCGCTAAGAGAGATACTAGATGATCGTGACAAAACTCGGTACTTTTATTTTATTCAATCAGTATCAAATAATGTGTCGTTACGCGTGAAAACAATGATCAGGTTAGTCGTTTAATAAAACAAAAGATTAATTAACAGATAATCCCGGGTTGATTGTTATGTTTACATTCCTTTTTACCTGATCAGTGGGGGTCCAGTTAATTAACTACTACTCACGGGATTAGCGGGGGTGTTACAAAGAACGACAAGATGGTATCATTCAACAATGGCCGTTGAATGGGCGATGTTTTGTTGAATTTATTAGTAAAATAGTGACCGCTGGCCGCGTTAGAGGAGTGACCGTTGAATAAAGAGATGAAACAACAGAATTTCTACGGGGGGAATTTATCGTGACCGCTTACAAGGAGATGTCGCTGAATAGGAGTGGCTGCTCATACAGATTCTACTGTATAGTAAAATTATGTTGCAATACATGTCTGCTCAAGACACCAGATCCAATTATAACAGATATTTCATTCTAATACGCAAATTTTATATCTGGGGGACATAATTTAATCCTGCTGTCTTAATTTTGCATCTATTGCGGATCATACCTATAATTATATTGCACTTTCGCACCTCTACCAGTTCCCGTTATCGTAGAGACATGTTAAGGATGACTGGCAATGACCACACACCAAATTTCAGCCCAATCGATCAATAACCGTTTATTTTACCGACCTTTTAATTTCTAACGAGAGAGAAGTTCATCCGTTCGTCGCCATTTTCTTTGTTGACGATTTAGACTCGAATAACAAGACACTAAGACGGATTCCGACACACTGCGCTAGCTGCTTAACACTGCAGTTCATAAAATTTCATAATTATTTTCGTATATTTTAACTTTTGCGCTAAGCCAGCAATATCTATAAAATATTATTTGGCGTTAACCAGTTGGAATGGCCGTTATGTGTGAATATCGCCGTGACCTTGACGCTGACCCTGACTTCAAATTTTCCATCAAGCTCGGGACCTCTGCGCTTTATGCTGGGCCTCTATTTCTTGCTGTATTATCGAGGTTACTGTCCGGGGTGAAAGCTAAGAATTCAAAATGTCCAAAGTCAGTTTTTGGACATTCGACCTTCACTCCGTAACCAATTTAAATGGCCATCATCGACCTGCGGGCTATTAAATCGATCGTCCCTTACAAATCAGTTCTGGTAGTTCTCCAGACGTTCTGGTAGATAACGCGTAAATCTAACAGACCGATATTTCCATCGTCCGTTAATCCGAGGGAGCCATGGTGGCTAAGTGGATAAGACGCTGGCGCCGTACCCTGGAGGACGCCGTTAAAATTTGTGTTAATAATAAATATTATAAATATTAATCATTACCTAAAACCCTCATTTCGGTGCAGACCGCCGTTTGGTTTTATCGTAATCATTACGTTATACTATAACCAACGTTAATAAATATTATTACCCCCCCCCCCCCAAAACCCCATAGTAGATATTACTATATTCTATAACGAATGTTAATAAATATTATACCCCTCCCCCAATCTCGCTGTAAACTGCAGTTTCGTTCTATCGTAGTGATAACGTTATTCTGCAACCAACGTTAATATAATTATACCCCACCCCTCCCCTTTATTGGTTATCTGACTGCCGTATTGTAGCCCTACACGAATTTGAGGATAAAATTGTTTAAAATGTATAAATCTAGACCGATCCCACCCTCTCGTGGTTGACTATAATGTTAATTCTATTAAACCATATTGGATTATAATTATATACACCCACATTAAACTATTTTAATAATCTAAACACGACCCCTCTGCGTTTCACCGTTTTCTGACCAAACAGTGTGTGAAAGAACCCAGGTAAAGGTTGGTGGTCCTAGCCACGGTGGTAGCGTATAAAAATTTGTATGAGGTGAAGGCCTCATGTCCTAGTCGTTCGGACGGGACGAAAAACCTAGGTCCCGTCCACAAATTAGCCTCATGTCAAATGTCCAAAAACTGACTTTGAAAAGTTCGAGTCCAGTTTTCTGTAACATGACCTTGACCCACGACTTTGACCCAGTTATCTTTTCTGAAGGACGTCGTCTCTGCTTCCACCTCGAGCATTAACTTTGATAATACAGTAAGAAATAAGGCCACGGTAAGCATAAACGCAAAGGCCCCGAGATGGAGGGGAAGTTTGGACTCAAGGTCAAAGTCAAGGTCACGGTTGGTTGGCGTTGACTAGTGGAGGTCACCACGACCTTTCACATTGACCACGCCCATTGACTTCCTTTCGGACACGGGCCCTCTGCGTATAACTGTTTTCTGACCGAGCAGTGTGCGACAGGACCAAGGTATACGTCCATGTTTCAATCCAAGATCATGGCCTTTGAAAATGGTTACGGGATCAAGGTTGTAAGTCAAGGTCAAATGTCCCAAAACTTACTTTGAAAAGTTTGAGTTCAGTTTTCTGTAACATGACGATGACCCACGACTTTGACCCATTTATCTTTTCTGAAGGACGTCGTCTCTGCTTTCACCTCGGGCATTAAGAAATAGTTCCATGGCAAGCATAAACGCAAAGGCCCCGAGATCGATGGGTGGTTTGGACTCAAGGTCAAAGTCAAGGTCACGCTGGTTAGCGTTGACTACTGGAGGTCAACACTACCTTTCACATTGATCGCGCCCATTGACTTCCTTTCGAACACGGACCCTCTGCGTTTGACCGTTTTCTGACCGAGCAGTGTGCGACAGGGCCAAGGTAAACGTCGGTGGTTCAAGCCAAGATGATGGCCCTTTAAAATGGTTACGGGGTCAAGGTCAAATATCTGAAAACTGACTTTGAAAAGTTTGAGTTCAGTTTTCTGTAACATGACCTTAACCTACGACGTTGGCCCTTCATCTTTTCTGAAGGACGTCGTCTCTGCTTTCACCTCGAGCATTAACCTTAATAATACAGTAAGACATAGGGCCACGGCAAGCATAAACGCAAAGGCCGCGAGATCGATGGAAGGTTTGGACTCAAGGTCAAAGTCAAGGTCACGCTTGGTTAGCGTTGACTAGTGTAGGTCACCATGACCTTTCATATTGACGGCGCCCATTGACGTCCTTTCGAACACGGGCCCTCTGCGTTTGGCCGTTTTCTGACCGAGCAGTGTGCGACAGTGCCAAGGTAAACGCCGACGGTTCAAGCCACGATGATGGACTTTTAAAATGGTTACTGGGTCAAGGTCGTAAGTCAAGGTCAAATATCCCAAAACTGAGTTTGAAAAGTTTGCGTTCAGTTTTATGCAACATGACCTTGACCTACGACTTTGACCAAATCATCTTTTCTTCAGGGCATCTTCTCTGCTTTCACCCCGGACATTAGCCTCGATAATACAGCAAGAAATAAGGGCGCAGCACTTATAAGCGCATAGGTCCCGAAAATTTGAAGTCAAGGTCAGCGTCAAGGTCACGGCGATATTCACACGTAAAGGCCAATCCATCTGGTCAACGCCAAATAGTACTTTATAGAAATTGGTGGCTTAGCGCAAAATTTAAAATATACGAAAATTATTATTAAATTTTATGATCTGCAGTATTAGGCAGCTAGCACAGTGTGTCGGAATCCGTCTTAGTGTCTTGTTATTCGAGTCTAAATCGTCAACAAAGAAAATGGCGACGAACGGATGAACTTCTCTCCCGTTAGAAATTAAAAGGTCGGTAAAATAAAAAGTTATTGATCGATTCGGCTGAAATTTGGTGTGCGGCCATTGGTAGTCATCCTTAACATCCCCTGAAAATTTCAAGTCTACGACAACGGGAACTGGTAGAGGTGCGAAAGTGCAATAGCGCCGCTATTTTTAGGACACTACCTGAGCACGTCGTCCTAGTATAGATTGTAAGTAAGGATAGTGTTGCTTTAATTCTAGTTCAGATGAAAAATAAATTGGATATAACAAAACCACACTAACCTGACGTATAAATTACATACACCTATTTAATGGTAACCCTATATAATATTGCATACTTCATTATTAAGTTCATATAAACAACAGACCATTTTACTAATAATCTTTCTCGCATCGAGCTGAAGTCAGCGGACGTTACGTTCAACGGACATTTTATGACCTTGACCCTCATCGTTAAAGAACACAATGAACCCACAAACTATATAGACTGGACAACCTGCTGTAAATGACGTTTGGCTGGTTCCTACGTCACTGCGCTATTCTGACTTCAAGTCAGAAAAGGAGTGACGTAGGAGCGAGTCTGACGCATAGAAATATATAAATTTATATATTTATATGGTCTGACGTATTAGAGCAGGTTATCCAGTCTACCACAAACTACACCTCGAATCCGGGTGCTTGGAACTTTGCGGTGGTATAACTCGATACACCAACATAGAAAGTTAATGAAATTCGGCATGTTCATACCATGTGCATCTGTCGATTTGGTGAAATAAAGATTTCGAAGCCACCAAAGCTAGTTCAGAAGTTATTGCGTGCGCAGTGAGCACCGAGCGGAATCTCTCACCGGTATTCCAGCACCCGGATTCGAGATCAAGTTAGCACACATATTCTCTCACCGTATTCCAGCAAACGGATTCGAGATCATGTTAGCACACATATTCCTAGCGCCAAGAAAAACCTAGATATAATTATCACGAAAATAGTTGTTACCTTAGAAAATAAAATTTTAAAACATATTAATGCAAAGTATATACATGTATGTAATAGATCCCCCCCCCCACACCCCAAAATATACTATTAACGTAAACATACTAAAATATCGCACACTAGGCTAACTGAGCATGCAAAAAAGGGGTACGTCCATTTTGCATCAAAAAGCACCCCAACCAGATTTGGTGGGAATCAAGAGATGAATAAACTACTAGAATACAAACTTTCAGAAGGCTCCTGTGTTGGCGTTTCGAGATATATTACCGTAAACATACTAAACAAAAAAAATAAATGGGTTAATCGGGTTGGGGTAGGCTCACTGCGCACGCAATAACTTCTAAACTAGCTTTGCCTTTGGTGGCTTCAATATCTTTATTTCACTAAATCGACAGATGCATAAGGTATGCACATGCCGAATTTCATTAACTTTCTAGTTAGCACGCATATTCTCTCACCCGTATTCCAGCACCCGGATTCGAGATCAATTTAGCACACATATGCCTAGCGCCAAGAAAGATATAATTATCACGAAAATAATTGTTACCTTTATATTAGAAAATAAATTTTAAAACATATTAATGCAAAGTATATATGTAATAGATCTCCCGACCCCACCCCACACCCCAAAATATACTATTACCGTAAACATACTAAAATACCGCACACTAGGCTAACTGAGCATTTTTCCGGCGTGGTTTCCCCTTCTCAGTGATGCAGGACGGAGGGCCTGACAAGGACAGCTGTCTAGTCGTTCGGATGGGACGAAAAACCGAGGTCCCGTGTACATATTGGCGTGCACAGAGTCTCCGATGCAAAAACAGATCACATTACTATTTCTGAACGAATAGGAGAACTTAAATTCTTAACAACTGCATATACCATAAATGATTCTCACTCCGGTAAAATGGTGCAAAGACAAAGGAGATGAAATTAAAAATGCCTCAGTTGGCCCCGTTGTATTGTTATGGTGAGGGTGTGGAGGGTCGGAATAACCAGATATTTTCTCCAAAAAATGTGTCAATTCTTAACATTATCATTAGCATCATATGTTTTTATGCATAAAACAATTAAACTACATTTATTGTGTCTTAAAGTTAAATTCTTTGAAATTCTAATTAGCTTGCTGGTAAGTACTGCACATGGTTAATTGACTGACAGGTAGATTCCTGATTCCGGTCAATTTCAGTTGCCCTCAAACAACTATTACACTTTGCTATTATAAACCAATCCAATAGAAAGATTGATGATTGTCCCTTTTTTTCTGAAACAATCATTTATTATAAACCAATCCAATAGAAAGATTATCAAATTAAGTGACTCTGAAAACTTAATAGAGGACATATTACAAGCCACATCAAACAGAAAACTGACGATTATCTTAAAATATGATCATTTTAGGGAAATTCTGGCCGCCATTTTGAATTTCCGCCATATTGAATTTTGGAAACTCTTTTTTTTAGATTGATTTTAAGTTCAATGACTTTGAAAACCCTTTATATTACATATTACAAACCATATCAAAGAGTGAAATGACTTTTATCTGACAAATCGGCCATTTTAGATAAATGTTGGTTGCCATTTTTAATTTCCGCCATCTTGGATTTTGGAAACTATTATTTTCTTTAGATTAATTTTAAGTTCAGTGACACTGTAAACCCTTTAAATTATATATTACAAACCTAATCAAACACTGAAATGACTTTAATCTGACCAATCGGCCATTTTGGGTATATTTTGGCGGCCATTTTGAATTTCCGCCATCTTAGTTTTAGGGAAACTAGCTTTAGAGATTATTTTTCAGTTCAATTACAACAAAAACCTTATATTTGATATATTACAAGCCATACCTTGCGTGATAATCACCCATCCTATCTGGAAATTCATTTTTCTTCAAATTTTGGCGGCCATTTTTGAAATCAGAAAAAACCCAACCGAAAATGACGTCATAGATAAATCTTTTTTCAAAAATCGTGTTCAGCTAGAAATTTCGCCTCTGGAAATTGCTGGCCTGAAATGATTTGTAAAAAAAATGTCTTATCGTGACACACCTAGTTATATGTATTTCAATGGATAGACGGTCATTTTGAAAAGATGGCCGTAACGACCACCAGGGGGAGCTGCTGGGGTGGATCCACATCCCAAAATAATCAATAGGGTTGATGCCATCTATGTGCCAAGTTTCATGCTTTTAACCCAAAGTGCACGATTTTTTGCTTAACCGCCCCACTATTATGTCCTGAACGAGTTACATGCAGGACATAATGGCATTCTTCTTATGAAGGCTGTAGCTAGAAGTTTCATATGGTGGCCAAACATTGACATTGATAATATGTGTAAGGGATGTAACTCTTGTCAACAGATCAGGACTCAGACTAGCAATTATTTGCCCATTGACTTCAATGTTAAATGGCTGTAACATCACAGGCTGTAGCTTTTTTCTCAACATTCCGTTGGTTCCAATCTTTATAGGCACAATGGGGACAACATTTGGCAATCTCCTCATCATAATTTTGTAGGGGGTTGACCATTTAGATTTTTTGCTACACGGATTTGAAGTTGACTGGGGTGAAAATCTCACTTCCGACACAATGACTGCTCTGCAGAAAGACACTTTACACCCCCTATCCCTCCGCTGTAATATCATCAGTATTACCCAAAACTGCTATGAAATTGCAAATTTGATCCCTTTTCTCCAATTCTAGACCAAAAAGTCAACCCAAAAATGCAGGAAGAGGGGAGAAAAAAATTAAGGGAAAAATTGTCTATTTATAACTCGCACTACATTCCTCCATCATGAAATAAGGGGAAATAATTACTAGTCTTAGTCCTATATACCTCACATGTTTCTGCAGTTTAAACAAATCTGTTGTTATCTAATAAACAAACATATATGCAATTCCCTGACCAAAGAATATGAAAATCTATGCATTTTCAGATGAGCTGTGCGGCATTCTGCAAACACTATAATGCATCAGAAAACTGCGGAATTTCAGACAGAAATTTAAAAGCACATGAATTTTGAATTAAACAGAACATTTTTATTTTTGAACATAAATGCATTCTGTAAAAAGATGAGATAAATTCAATATAAATCAAACACGAAAATACTTTAAAACAGTAATCATGATGCAATATTAGACTTTTTAACACTTTCATCGAAAACCACACAGTTTTTCTCTGTTAACGTAGTTTCAAGTGCCAAATTGTGGTCAAATCTAAAATGTTGAAACATGCAGTGCCTATCAATTTTAAAATATCTCCTATATAGCTGTATTTCCATAGGATAAGTAAGTTGAAATAATCTGATTATGTAACACTACAACAGCTTTTTCATCCCTACCCCCCAGTTTGGAATCTGATAATTTAAAAGCACATGAATTTTGAATTCCACAGAACATTTTTATTTTTGAACATAAATGCATTCTTCAAAAAGATGAGATGAATTCAATATAAATCAAACACGAAAATACTTTAAAACAGTAATCATGATGCAATATTAGACTTTTAACACTTTCATCGAAAACCACACAGTTTTTCTCTGTTAACATAGTTTTAAGTGCCAAATTGTGGTCAAATCTAAAATGTTGAAACATGCAGTGCCTATGAATTTCAAAATATCTCCTATATAGCTGTATTTCCACAGGATAAGTAAGTTGAAATAATCTGATTATGTAACACTACAACAGTTTTTTCATCCCCACCCCCCGGTATGGAATCTGATACATTGCTGACCAATCATAGGTCGCCCCGTTCACTCGAGCCTGTCAAATGATTTACAATGGCGATGGTGCCTACAACTTTCCTGACCAAGAGATATGCACAACCGTCGATCAACACACAAGCCATTAATGTTATCTTCCAATATGAGAGGCCATGATAAACACACAAGCGTCCTTTTCAAGCTCGGAAATTAAGTCATCACCAAAAAGCAAAGTTTACAGAGGTCCCAAACTGATTACGATTTGCCCTCCACTTCCACCACAGGTGTCATAGAGATCAGGGATGAAATTGATATGCATCATCGTTCTCCTAAAGCCAGTCCAGGAAGAGATCAGGTTTTGAGATGTAGACCTGAAATGTTAAATTTGGATGAGAATGAGAATTCTGGGGCGAATACTATCCAGGGAAATGGTCATTGACATCCAGAAAATGGTCAAAATGTGGAATTCTGTCATTCAGTTAAATGTCAAGGGGAGAAGACAGGCCTGTGCAGTACCAAATTTCCAGCCCATTACTATTAGTGAGCAGAAGTGGGGATGAGGTTGGATTTACTTCTTAAAGTGTATGAAATGCACATTTATCTCACCTGTTTTGCTTCTTTTTTTTTAATACCTGTGTTGAGGTCAATCATTCCACTCTATGAAACATTGCCCTGGCACCTGAAATGATAGGAGGCTGGGGATAAATATGCAATAAAAAACAGTGAGAAAATAAGAAAAAAATATGGTTTCAACTGGAAATAGAAATAAACCTCTTTATTTCTCGCGAACAGCCCGTCACTGGCCCTCCAAAAAGAAACCAGTTAACAATCAGTAAAAAAGTAAACCTTGAGTGTCACATAAGTCTAAGCCAATCTCAAAGGTAGATGCCATGTTTTGAGGTTCGGTCTAAATATTAAGGCCAACTGCATGTTTGGTCAAAAGTCACACAGGTGTGAATTTTGGAGTGTACATGTTAACATTTCATTGTATGATGTCAAAAACATGTTAGGTCTAAATGTTAAGGCCAACTGCAGACTTGGTTCAAGGTCACAACATGTAAATAGGGTTAGGGCACATGATTTTTTTACACAATTGTGGGTTTGGGCTAGGGTCAGAACTAGGTCTTGGCTTAGGCCTAGGCTACATGCTTTTTGACAAGATTGTGGGTTAGGGTTAGGGTAAGGACTGGGTCTTGGGTTAGGGTTAGGGTCAGCCTTGTTTACATCTCGTGACTTTAGACCAAATCTGGAGTTGAGTTGGCCTTAATATTTAGACCTAACCATGTTTTGATATCATTGTGAAGAAAATGTTACACATTTACAACCCAAAATTCACACTCAACCAACGGATACCCCCAATCATGGCTATTTTGATACCAAATAGTCAAAAAACTTACTGCTGGGCAATAAAAAAGCAGTATTCTTACTATTTCTGACACTTTCCATTCAAAACTTCAGGAAATAAGCCCTTGAAAAAATATCAACATCCCGAGTCGGCCATGTTTCTTTATCTCATCAGGACTCAGACTAGCAATTATTTGCCCATTGACTTCAATGTTAAATGGCTGTAACATCACAGGCTGTAGCTTTTTTCTCAACATTCCGTTGGTTCCAATCTTTATAGGCACAATGGGGACAACATTTGGCAATCTCCTCATCATAATTTTGTAGGGGGTTGACCATTTAGATTTTTTGCTACACGGATTTGAAGTTGACTGGGGTGAAAATCTCACTTCCGACACAATGACTGCTCTGCAGAAAGACACTTTACACCCCCTATCCCTCCGCTGTAATATCATCAGTATTACCCAAAACTGCTATGAAATTGCAAATTTGATCCCTTTTCTCCAATTCTAGACCAAAAAGTCAACCCAAAAATGCAGGAAGAGGGGAGAAAAAAATTAAGGGAAAAATTGTCTATTTATAACTCGCACTACATTCCTCCATCATGAAATAATTACTAGTCTTAGTCCTATATACCTCACATGTTTCTGCAGTTTAAACAAATCTGTTGTTATCTAATAAACAAACATATATGCAATTCCCTGACCAAAGAATATGAAAATCTATGCATTTTCAGATGAGCTGTGCGGCATTCTGCAAACACTATAATGCATCAGAAAACTGCGGAATTTCAGACAGAAATTTAAAAGCACATGAATTTTGAATTAAACAGAACATTTTTATTTTTGAACATAAATGCATTCTGTAAAAAGATGAGATAAATTCAATATAAATCAAACACGAAAATACTTTAAAACAGTAATCATGATGCAATATTAGACTTTTTAACACTTTCATCGAAAACCACACAGTTTTTCTCTGTTAACGTAGTTTCAAGTGCCAAATTGTGGTCAAATCTAAAATGTTGAAACATGCAGTGCCTATCAATTTTAAAATATCTCCTATATAGCTGTATTTCCATAGGATAAGTAAGTTGAAATAATCTGATTATGTAACACTACAACAGCTTTTTCATCCCTACCCCCCAGTTTGGAATCTGATAATTTAAAAGCACATGAATTTTGAATTCCACAGAACATTTTTATTTTTGAACATAAATGCATTCTTCAAAAAGATGAGATGAATTCAATATAAATCAAACACGAAAATACTTTAAAACAGTAATCATGATGCAATATTAGACTTTTAACACTTTCATCGAAAACCACACAGTTTTTCTCTGTTAACATAGTTTTAAGTGCCAAATTGTGGTCAAATCTAAAATGTTGAAACATGCAGTGCCTATGAATTTCAAAATATCTCCTATATAGCTGTATTTCCACAGGATAAGTAAGTTGAAATAATCTGATTATGTAACACTACAACAGTTTTTTCATCCCCACCCCCCGGTATGGAATCTGATACATTGCTGACCAATCATAGGTCGCCCCGTTCACTCGAGCCTGTCAAATGATTTACAATGGCGATGGTGCCTACAACTTTCCTGACCAAGAGATATGCACAACCGTCGATCAACACACAAGCCATTAATGTTATCTTCCAATATGAGAGGCCATGATAAACACACAAGCGTCCTTTTCAAGCTCGGAAATTAAGTCATCACCAAAAAGCAAAGTTTACAGAGGTCCCAAACTGATTACGATTTGCCCTCCACTTCCACCACAGGTGTCATAGAGATCAGGGATGAAATTGATATGCATCATCGTTCTCCTAAAGCCAGTCCAGGAAGAGATCAGGTTTTGAGATGTAGACCTGAAATGTTAAATTTGGATGAGAATGAGAATTCTGGGGCGAATACTATCCAGGGAAATGGTCATTGACATCCAGAAAATGGTCAAAATGTGGAATTCTGTCATTCAGTTAAATGTCAAGGGGAGAAGACAGGCCTGTGCAGTACCAAATTTCCAGCCCATTACTATTAGTGAGCAGAAGTGGGGATGAGGTTGGATTTACTTCTTAAAGTGTATGAAATGCACATTTATCTCACCTGTTTTGCTTCTTTTTTTTTAATACTTGTGTTGAGGTCAATCATTCCACTCTATGAAACATTGCCCTGGCACCTGAAATGATAGGAGGCTGGGGATAAATATGCAATAAAAAACAGTGAGAAAATAAGAAAAAAATATGGTTTCAACTGGAAATAGAAATAAACCTCTTTATTTCTCGCGAACAGCCCGTCACTGGCCCTCCATAAAGAAACCAGTTAACAATCAGTAAAAAAGTAAACCTTGAGTGTCACATAAGTCTAAGCCAATCTCAAAGGTAGATGCCATGTTTTGAGGTTCGGTCTAAATATTAAGGCCAACTGCATGTTTGGTCAAAAGTCACACAGGTGTGAATTTTGGAGTGTACATGTTAACATTTCATTGTATGATGTCAAAAACATGTTAGGTCTAAATGTTAAGGCCAACTGCAGACTTGGTTCAAGGTCACAACATGTAAATAGGGTTAGGGCACATGATTTTTTTACACAATTGTGGGTTTGGGCTAGGGTCAGAACTAGGTCTTGGCTTAGGCCTAGGCTACATGCTTTTTGACAAGATTGTGGGTTAGGGTTAGGGTAAGGACTGGGTCTTGGGTTAGGGTTAGGGTCAGCCTTGTTTACATCTCGTGACTTTAGACCAAATCTGGAGTTGAGTTGGCCTTAATATTTAGACCTAACCATGTTTTGATATCATTGTGAAGAAAATGTTACACATTTACAACCCAAAATTCACACTCAACCAACGGATACCCCCAATCATGGCTATTTTGATACCAAATAGTCAAAAAACTTACTGCTGGGCAATAAAAAAGCAGTATTCTTACTATTTCTGACACTTTCCATTCAAAACTTCAGGAAATAAGCCCTTGAAAAAATATCAACATCCCGAGTCGGCCATGTTTCTTTATCTCATCAATGGACTCAGACTAGCAATTATTTGCCCATTGACTTCAATGTTAAATGGCTGTAACATCACAGGCTGTAGCTTTTTTCTCAACATTCCGTTGGTTCCAATCTTTATAGGCACAATGGGGACAACATTTGGCAATCTCCTCATCATAATTTTGTAGGGGGTTGACCATTTAGATTTTTTGCTACACGGATTTGAAGTTGACTGGGGTGAAAATCTCACTTCCGACACAATGACTGCTCTGCAGAAAGACACTTTACACCCCCTATCCCTCCGCTGTAATATCATCAGTATTACCCAAAACTGCTATGAAATTGCAAATTTGATCCCTTTTCTCCAATTCTAGACCAAAAAGTCAACCCAAAAATGCAGGAAGAGGGGAGAAAAAAATTAAGGGAAAAATTGTCTATTTATAACTCGCACTACATTCCTCCATCATGAAATAAGGGGAAATAATTACTAGTCTTAGTCCATTAAGGGTATGCCTGCTCTAGCACCCACACATTCATGGTCACGGGACCGTAGCAACGTGTTCATTTAGACTTTGCAGGACCTTTGCTAAATCATATGTTTCTCATTGCTATTGATAGTTATTCTAAATGGCCAGAAATAATAATTATGAAAAATACAGCTGCTACTGATTTAGTAAAATATGTACGAAGTTAGTTTGCTTTACATGGCTTGCCATTACAAGTTCTGTCTGATAACGGACCGCAATTTGTATCACAGGAGTTCTAGTATTTCTTAAAAACAAATGGTGTTAAACATGTATTTACTGCTCCGTATAAACCATCTACACATGGACTTGCTGAGCGTATGGTACAGACATTCAAACAAGGAATTAAATCAGCCAAAGATCATAAGAACAATTTACAAGAAAACTTGCATATGTTTTTACTTTATTATAGAACCACTCCACATACACGAGAGACACCTGCGAAATTACATTTCAAACGCGAGTTACGTACAAGACTAGATTTACTGCGTCCTGATATGACTATGCGTGTTCAGATTGATAAGTCATCGACAGTTGGGCCTACCAGTCATAATAATGCCAGAAGTTTGCAAACAGATGATACAGTATGGATTCGAAATAATGGTCAAGGAGATAAATGGCTCCAAGGGAGAGTTGTTTCGTGGAATGGTTCACTATATTACACTGTTCGAACTGGTGATAATTATCTTCGACGACATATTGATCAGTTGTGAAATAGAGATTATAACATTAACGATGAAAATTCAGATTTAAGTGCTAGTTCAAATGATAGTCAAACTCATGATTCTGATCAAAATGACAATATTTCTAAAAGTGAAAATACTGACATTAAAATACGTAAATCTTCCAGAAAGATTAAAATACATAAACGGTATGATAATAAACAATGAACATTTTACAGTGTTTGTTTTGTTACTCCAAATTACGCTAATTGTTTTTCTGCATATACCGTATACATGTATTCACTCATGTCATTTTGATATTTTGCTTTAAATAATAGTGTTTTATTAAACTTTGAAAATATAGATCTATAGTATGATATTGTTCATTTACAAATTGAGACACTTTTCCTTTTAAGACGGAAGGAGATGTTGTATTTCTGTCGTCTGCTTGATGTTGGCACGCGCTTTACAAACAACGTTACTAAAAATAGCGCAACTCCACCTTATGTGTACTACGTTACTGATTGTATCTATTCTATTTTGTACCACGTCATACGTGCGCCATCACAGAGTAATGTATTTTTCAATGACGTATGTTTAAGACCACGTAAGATCAAAAATCTAAATTGCATGTATGTATAGCCCATGGTTACTATATCAACTTTACGGCAAGATCACACCAATCTGATTAAAATTAAGTCCGCTGTTAACGTTTAAGTATCCGACACGCCAAAACGCTTTTCAATTTTTCAATTACGACCTTAATCCGGTTGATTGGCTGGTGACGTCACAGGCACTACACATAGGATATACATTATCTATACAATATCTCACTGTATGTACAATATAGCACTATCAATACACACGGCAACTGGACAAGCGTCTATTGACTGACCTAATCATAATCACGAAATTATCGTCTTTCATTGGTATAGATTAGACATTTGTGACTGGAATATTTTAGAGTGAATTTAAAATGCCGTATCATGCCGTAGATCAATTTAAGTTGCCTTTGTTTAAATAGGCCACGTGTCAAATGAAAATGACTCAAGAAATCAGCGCATTTACCGGTAATTTGGATAACCCCGTAATACTTGATATCCCAAACTTAAGTACAGAAATACAAATGGTGCCAGTCATTTGTCGATATATTCATTATTAGCTATATATAATAATAATAACCATTTCTATACATAAAGAACAACTACAGTGAATATGGAATTTTCCGATGACTATGCATAACATGTACAATATATCGCACTCATTTCTCTGTCAATCAACGCTTGGTATCTTATTATCATGTACCGTTCCATGTACTACGGGTGTAGTAAATGAGGTTAAACTTCGCCGCGAAAATTGCATGGGATCATTCGTGGAGTTCCTGGTGTTGGTGAGTGATTAAACTGTCAATGTTGTTGTTGTTTATTACAAATTTAACGGCCAATACAAAATGCATGATATTATGGACAGGTTGATTTAATTAAATTATTTACTTAAATAAAAAATAGAAGTTAGGTAAAAACACTAAATAATAAAAAGTTCTTGTATATCTAAACGTCACTTTAAAACAGATTTAAAATAATTAAAAGTTCTTGTATATCTAAAAATCACTTTAAAACACGGTTTTCAAATGGGTTTAAAATCGTTGTCGTGGGAAGAGAGGGCGGGTCATCTTCTCACTTTGTCATAATGAAAGTTAAAATAGGAGATGCAATTGTAAAATACTTTTATTATAAAGAAGATAACCGATGTTAGACATTATAACCTAATCGTATCAAAAACGTTAATCCATCCATCACTTAAATGTTGTTTAAACGCCAATCAACAAATAATACGAGGCTACTTGATTACAAAAACACCGTTGAGCAATAATTATTGGGTATATAGTAATTTTAAACAACTTATTAGTAAAACTTAATTATTTTATACAATTAATGTGTGTGTGTATGATTCTACCATTAGTTCGTTCGTGAGGTATTACGCACACGTTCCACTTAGAGTGATGTCTTTGATCTGGCGGGCGTAAAAAAAGATAATTACCTAATCAACATTCTTAATCCCACTAACACTCACTGTTAACGCCAACTTGAAATTAATTTATGACCCATGCCTGTATAACTTTTATAGTCGGATTGATTAATTAATGACAGATATTAACGACACTACACTTTATGTGGAAAAGCGAAGTGCTCGCAGTAAAAACCACATCGCTGGACCCGTATATTACTTACATATTGAAAGTGTTCGTCCAATAAGTTCCATATTGTAAAAAATTAATTAAGAGTTCAGGACTTCAAAGTTTAAAAGTTGTAGGCACTCTAAATTGGATCTTAAATTAAAATGAATTACAAAACAAATTATTCCGTAGTCAATTGTTTTATTTAATTAGGGGGATTAAGGAATCCTTCAGGCGTTAAAGAATATACACGCCAGCTGTATATAGCTAATTAAGGAATAAACATTCCGAATATGCATTCGGTCACTGTGACGTCACTGGCGTCTGAGGGGATTAAGAGTGTTTTCGATAATTGGCAAAGCCGTTTTTACGGAAGGTCTATTTTTACGACTTTGAGTGAAGATAACTGAATTAATTTCAACCAGATTGTCGTGAACTTGCCGTAAAGTGGATATAGTAACCATTGGCTACACGTATCTCGAAGTTTCCGGGACCATCTTATGTGCACTTTAATATATATACGTCATTGGTATTTTTACTCTGTGCTCACCGGTCACCATGCGTCTGCTTTCACATCCTATAATAGTCAATCACCTAGCAACACGCGCTTCCACTCAGACACACTCGAACATCCAGACTCTCATTTACCGATTTTGAATATAACAGTCTCAGTAAATTCCTTGATATTCTATTAAAACCACTGTGTAAGCACGCTAATAGTTTTATTAGGGACGATATAGATTTTCTTAAGGAATCCTTCAGGCGTTAAAGAATATACACGCCAGCTGTATATAGGTAATTAAGGAATAAACATTCCGAATATGCATTCGGTCACTGTGACGTCACTGGCGTCTGAGGGGATTAAGAGTGTTTTCGATAATTGGCAAAGCCGTTTTTACGGAAGGTCTATTTTTACGACTTTGAGTGAAGATAACTGAATTAATTTCAACCAGATTGTCGTGAACTTGCCGTAAAGTGGATATAGTAACCATTGGCTACACGTATCTCGAAGTTTCCGGGACCATCTTATGTGCACTTTAATATATATACGTCATTGGTATTTTTACTCTGTGCTCACCGGTCACCATGCGTCTGCTTTCACATCCTATAATAGTCAATCACCTAGCAACACGCGCTTCCACTCAGACACACTCGAACATCCAGACTCTCATTTACCGATTTTGAATATAACAGTCTCAGTAAATTCCTTGATATTCTATTAAAACCACTGTGTAAGCACGCTAATAGTTTTATTAGGGACGATATAGATTTTCTTTATCATTTACCAACAAAAGTAGCTCCTGGAAGTACACTCATAAGCTTTGATTTAGTCAATCTCTACAATAACATAGACCTCAAACATGGAATAAAAGCGATAGAATACTGGTTGGTTAAACATCCTGACGAAATATCATAATGTCCAATAATGTGTTTTACTTTGATGGGAATTTTTATCTTCAAAAGAACGGCTGTCCAATGGGTAGCAAGAAAAGCCCTCGCGTACGCTACATTAGCTTTGGGTTTTGTTTAAGACAAAATTGGTATAACTAAATATTAAACGATTTTGGATATGAGATGTATATATACATAAAACAAGCGTGGAAAAGATTCCTAGACGACGGCTTTTTAATCTTAAAAGCCATCCACAAAGTAATTGATAAACTGCGTAGGTCGCTTAACGAGTTAGATGAAAATATTTATTTCACTATTGAAAAGACTATATATTATTGTTTCTAATCCAGAAATAAAATTAGTTAGATTAATTAAATGAACTGAAACAATTTTTACTTAAACAAAATTACGCATTAAAACTCATACATGAAGCTAATCGCAAAGCCTTAGAAATGGATCCAAAAGAGTTAAGAATCCCTACGGATAGACATACGATTAAAAACATAGAAGAAAATGTCTAAACATTAGTTTCAACATACCACAACTCAAGAAAAAGCCAGGGATGCAATAAATAAACATACTTAAAATATAGCGTTCAGGAATTTAATAGCATCGTCAAAACTAAAATTAAATCAGAATGGAAAATTGAGTTGGCCAGAGCAAATACTTTTAGATTCAATTTAAACAACGATCTGCTTGTACAGACGGAGATCAATCACCCATCGCGCAAAATTTGTGGGTTAATCACAAGATTAAGAATTAAGGATTTAATTACCGACCATAAATTTAACCCAGTGAAGTGCGAATGTGGCCACAATTTGACCGTTGTCATCACTGCGTACAATAAATCGGAAAAGAAAAGACGTTTAATGGAAAATGTCAAACTTCAATATACCCTCCAAAATGTACTCTTCCCCCTTCGGAATATGTCATATAAAATTTATGAAGCTATCTCAAAATTCATAGCAGAATCGGGAATTAACTGTTAAGGTAGTTGCGTTAAAAGAGCACTAGTCAAAGAAAGATAGCTGGTTATGTAGACCAGGTTGGCCCCTAAGCCACCTGGATGCTTTAATAATATTAATATCAGAATAAATTAACGTTAAGATAGGGAATTACATATCTATTTACAAAGAAATGAACTATTGTTGTAGGACAGTATGGCGGTTCAGCCTGCTGCATGATTTAATATAATAATAATATACTATGGAAAAATAATGACAAAATAAAGGAATAGGGACCTACAAACCATTATTAACAACGACAGTGCACATCAATCAATTTAATTTAACCCGTGTTTAAAAATTTATTTATTCCCATAAAATGGTTCAATTTGTCTTTGTTGCTACTGGCTCTTCTTTTTCTTTTCAAGTAACTTTTATCTGTGGAGAGCCGTACACAAGGAAAACTCTAATGGAATGCCTACAACTTTTAAGTCTTGAACTCTTAATTAATTTTTAACAATATAGAACTTACTGGACGAACACGTTTAATAATATGTAAATAATCTACGGGTCCACATAAAGCCAGCGGATTCTTTTTCCCCACGTGTTTTTTTTCTATCCGCTCTGATGACGCCAAACATCAGTCAGTTGGAGCTCCTGTTTTAACTTTATTACGACAAAGGGAGAAGATGACCCGCCCTCTCTTCTCCCGGCAGCGAGTTTATAAGTGTGCTTTAAGGAACTTTTGGTATCCGAGACGAGACCTTTTTTTTTTCAATTTTTAATTTGTGTTTTTAACAATTTTCAAGTGTAAAAAATGTAATTAAATCAACCTGTCCATAATATCAAATTCATTGTATTGGACGTTAAATCTGTAATAAACAACAACAACAATATTCTCTCATTTTCTATTTACTATCCCATTCGTAGTAGACAAGTAGACAATATGTGATTCACTGTGCCCCGCTTTCCCCTACCAAATTGATCGATCATCATGGCAGATATTACAAGTGAAAGAGAGATTCGACTTCAGCAGTTCCGTGAAAAGATAGAAAGAATAGGATTATACTTAGCGACACAAAGCCACAAATCTGAAAACACCCATTTCTTGAACATGGAATATATATTTATCACCCCATTCCATACAAAGAAAAGAAAGTGGTAATTAATACTCCTTGTAAATTTTGGGTTCAACAAACATGCATGCAAATTGCACAATGCCATGCATACTCGGCATTTATACAAGGCACAATTATTTTTATATTAGGCCTACATTTTCGCATAAAGATCGTCAAGTTGTATTTCAGTTATCGAAATAAACAAACAATAGAAACTCGACACCCTCTCCAGGTAGTAATACTGTAAATATTGGTAGATAATAGTGTAGAAACCAATTTGACTGTAAGATAATATTACTATTAGGGGAAATCTTATCACGGGGAGTCAATGCACACCGCGTCCATGCCGGCGTGAGCTGACTCCTACAACTGCGCATGCGCTAAACGGTAATCACACACCAGGAACCATTTCACACTGTCTAGGCATGGATCGTATATAATACAGTTCTATGGTCTAGGCATTTGCCACATTGCCCACGCCATGATATACGTCACTGGGTTAAATGACGGACATACGCACATAGTGTAATTTAATTTCAGCTGTCATGGGTTATTTTACGTACATGACCACATGTCAACGTTTTAACGTGTTGTACTATAGCCTACACGGCACCTATGTTTTTCGTGCTAGATCCGAAGTAGGCCTACTACGCGTTGTTTCTTTCCACTCCAGGCCCTCCGCCCTGTGTACTGTAGCACTGACAAGGTGGAACCATAGATAATAACGTACGGTATTATCTATGGTGGAACCGAGCCGGAAAATCTCGACAAACACCGGAATCGAACCCAGTTTAGCCCATTGAACCACCGCGGCTACCGTCAGGGAAATGGACTGGAATGTCCCGTGTTCAAATTTCTCCATTTTGTTTCGCTAAATCTAACCTTAAATTCCATATTTTTAACAACCAAACCGGAAACGAAACGAAAATCAAAACAAGTCTGACAAATCAATCAATCAACGTGTCTTTTGCTCAGAAAAGTTTTAATTGAAATGGATAAAAACTGAAAATGAACTGAAGTTGGCAAGTTGGTTGTCATGACTTCAATACAGTCCAATACCGAAAGACAAGATGACGAAATACAAGTTTTGCAAGCAATTTTTACAGACGATTTTGTTGACTTAAGAAAACAAAATGTATGGAAGGTAATGAATATGAATGACCGCATGGCTCTATTCTTTGGAGCCTTAAAATAGACGAAAGGGTGTCTACACACACATAATAATGTCATATAAAATGATTTATATACAATTCAGAAAAAAAAAGAAAGTAATTTCTAATCCATTATTTATGCCTTTTATGTAGTTCACCTAGTTCTTGGTGAACTACGTCAAATACGTGGTGAACAGTCCAAATTTACACCTGCTTAGTCCATTCTACACTTTTTTTGTCCCCCGCCTTTCGAAGATAGCAGGGGACTATTAAAATGGGTTCGTCCGCCTGTCTGGATGTCACTTGTGTCCGTCTGTCAGTCACACTTTTTGGAGCACGATAACTCCTTCTAATTGAACTAGAATGTTCAAACTTGGTGTAGGTGTTTATTAGGTCAGTGACTTGATGGAGTTCCATGATGAGCATTTTCTGCTCCATGATTACATCAATACCGTGACTAAGTTCGATATTGAGCATTTTCTGCTCCATGATTACATCAATACCGTGACTAAGTTCGATATTGAGCATTTTCTGCTCACGGTAAGGAGAACGATAAGCTACTTGATTGGCCGAGACTTTAGAACAAAATAACTCTCCTTCTAAGTGAGCTAGAACGTTCCAAATTGATGTAGGTGTTTATTAGGCCAATACCTTGATGGAGTTCGAAGATGAGCATTTTCTGCTTAGGGTAAGCAGAGATAAGCAATTTGATTGGTTATGCTTTGGGACACGATAACTTAATTTCTAATTAAATATACATTATGCAAGAGCTAAATCTGATTATTGCAAGTCTTATTTTAGGCTTCAGATGTCATAGGAATTGTAAATTAGATCTTTATTTACACAACAAGCACAAAATCAACTCTGTAGATCCAAGATGGCTTGGATTCAGCTTGGATTTAAACGGGATTTCGTTGGCTGATTTAATTTTAAATGGCGTCGTGAGCGGAGATTAACCGTTACGTTGACGTCGTACTCCAGGATCAAGCTAAATGATAGAGTGTACGAAGCGAGGCCGCTGTTGAGTGATGCCTTAACAAATGACATCTAAACTATTTAAAGTGCAATAAACTAAACACAGATAATGACAAATTATACAATTCCTGGAGACCGTGTGATGACTAATACAGACGGACAGGTCTTCTGTCTTAATAATATCAATAAAAAAAATAATTTTCCCCAATAGGCACGACGCCACTGGTGTATAGATTTATCATAATTGTATTATAATATTATGTCCTATATTCAATTGATTTAATGCATGCCCAAAATACAAGTAAGAACGAAAATTTACCCTCTCACTCATTTTGTCCAATTGTTATAAAAATCCAAAAAGGTAAAACACAAATTCGGATATGATGACAGCAGACAAAAGACAGCAGAGTCCAATTGTTATAAAAATCCAAAAAGGTAAAACACAAATTCGGATATGATGACAGCAGACAAAAACAGCAGAGATTATGTAGTTGGAGTTAACGTCTGTCAATCAAACGATCGGCCATACTAAGAATCGGTGAAGATGGAATTCAATCCCATTTCTAGTCAAAAATTACACTGGTGATAACTATGTTCAGAATAAAGTAATTTGACTGAAATTTTCAATATATTCTTCTTTCATAATCTATTTTTGAACTGTTATAGCAAGAATGGCTAACTCCTTATAAAAATCTCCCATAATGTATCTTTAAGTGAGAGTGATAGAATTTGGTGTATAGTTTTATTACAACAATACTTTGGCTAAGTTCAATAATTAATGAGTATTTTCTGCTCAGGGTAAGCAGAGCAATAAGCAATTGGATTGGTTGAGACTTTGGAACACAATAAATTCTCATTCTAATTGAGTTAGCATGTTCACACTTGGCGTAAGTGTTTATTACTAGGTGAATGCCTTGATGGAGTTCAAAGATGAGAATTTTGTTAGCATGTTCACACTTGGCGTAAGTGTTTATTACTAGGTGAATGCCTTGATGGAGTTCGAAGATGAGAATTTTCTGCTTAGGGTAAGCAGAGATAAGGAATTTGATTGGTTGATGCGTTGGAACACAATAACTTTAGTTCTAATTAGGTGAGAGTGAGGACACTTTGTGTATAGCTTTATCACATCAATACCTTAACTAAGTTTAGTAATGAGCATTTTCTGCTCAGTGTAAGCAGAGCGATAAGCAATTTGATTAGTTGAGACTTTTGAACACAATAACACTCCTTCTAATTGAGGTAGAATGTTCAAACTTGGTGTAGGCGTTCATTAGGTGAATGCCTTGATGGAGTTCTATGATAAACATTATCTGCTTACGGTAAGCAGAGATAAGCAATCTGATTGATCGATGTTTTGTGGCAGGATAACTTTGGTTTTAATTAAGTGAGAGTGATGAAACTCCGAGTATAGATTCATTATAAAATTACCTTGACTTAGTTTGATGATGAAAATTTTCTGCTTAGGATAAGGAGCGATAAACAATTTGAATTGTCAAGACTTTGGAACATAACAACTCTGCTTTTAATTGAGGTAGAATGTTTAAACTTGATGTAGATGTTCATTAGGTGAATGCCTTGATTGAGTTCAATGATTAACATTTTGAGTTAAAGCTAAGCAGAGCTAAACAATTTCATTGGTCGATGCTTTGGGACAAGATAACCTTGATTCTATCTGATAGAGAGTGATGAAACTTAGTGTATAGTTGATAATCAGTTTGATTGCTTGATACTTCTGAAAAAAATAAAATAAATCTGTCTATTGCAGGTCTTTCTTAGGCCTGAAATGTTATCTAAATTATTATTTAGACATTATTGAACCTATCCAGACCATAATCAACTCTAGATGGCATTGCTAGCCTGCAATCTTTAGTGGATTATGAGCCGATTTATTGCATAACTTTCCTTAATGATTTAACGATTAAATGGATAATCGATACTATGCTGTTTATCGTACTGACTTTAGTAATGATGACCGAGGCTAGGCTGAAATTTCAGTCGCTTATTTTTCGGTGGGGGGTTGGATGGCTGAATGGTTAGGGTGCGCGCGCTGTATCATAAAGTCTTTCATTGAGTCGACTGGCGTGGTTTCGAATCACCGGTTGTACGTGACAAGGAGTAGGGTCGCCTGTCCAACCTCGTGGGTTTTCTCCGGGTCCTACGGTTTCCTCCCACGCACATGCAAATTATTGAAATAAAATTAAACCATATGTTAGTCCCGAAATGACCTAGTTTGTGTCGAGTGGACGTTAAACCCCATTTCTCTCGCTCTATTTTTCGGTTCATAGTGGATCAATTTGAATGAAATTTTCAGCAAATTGCCTTTACATTATCTAGTTTTTAACTATTATAGTGAGAACTGCCAACTCGTTATCGAATTTCCCATAATGTATCTTTAATATGTGTCATCTACATGTATTTATTTTGGGATTTTGGCGGGAGACAACAGCCTCACTGTTGGGTTGTTTTTATTATTATTTTGTCGTTTGTGTATCAGCCATTACTAATTACTTCTGCATTGTCTTGCAGGATATGTTTTTATACGCCCACATTTTCATTATATTATTGTCGTCGCCCCTGGACATCCGGACGTCCGTCCATCCGTCCACAATTGTTTGTGGACACTCTACAGGTCACAATTCTTATCCGATTTTGACGAAACTCGAAATATAGGTTTATCTCCAAAAGATCTCGGTTGCTGTCGATATTGGCATGTATCAGACCGAAACTTCATGGATTATGGCCCCTGATTGTATGAAAAATCGCGTTGTTAGCTTGTGGACCCTATAGAGGTCATAATTTTTATCTGATTTAAAAAAACGTATTATTATATCACCGTTACACCCTAAGTTACACCCTAAGGACGGCTGAGTTCGAATTTTGTGAAAATTGACAGACAAAATGGCCACCGTTCGTTCTCAAATAGCGTTAAAATATGGTATATCAAGATTGTGGACCCTATAGAGGTCACAATTTTTATCCGATTTTGTTGAAACTTGAAATGATAATTTATAACCCAAAGATCTGGCCTCTGATTGTACGAAAAATCGCGTTTTTAGCTTGTGGACCCTATAAAGGTCATAATTTTTATCCGATTTAAAAAAAACGTATTATTATATCACCGTTACACCCTAAGGATGGTTGAATTTGGTGAAAATCGGACCAAAACTGACAGACAAAATGGCCGCCCCTCGTTCTCAAATAGCATAAAAATATGGTATATCAAAGTTATGGATCCTCTAGAGGTCGCAATTTTCTACTGATTTTGATGAAACTAGAAATGTAAGTTTATAACCCAAAGATCTCGGTTCCTTTCGATATTCGGGTATATCGGACCATAACTTCCTGAATTATGGCCCCTGATTGTACGAAAAATCACGTTTTTAACTTGTGGACCCTATAGTGGTCATAATTTTTATCCGATTTAAAAAAACGTTTTAGTATATCACCGTTACACCCTAAGGATGGTAGAGTTCGAATTTCGTAAAAATCGAACCAAAACTGACAGACAAAATGGCCGCCCCTCGTTCTCAAATTACTCAAATAGCGTAAAAATATGGTATATCAAGGTTGTGGACCCTCTAGAGGTCACAATTTTCTTCTGATTTTGATGAAACTTAAAATGTAAGTTTATAACCCAAAGATCTCGGTTCCTTTCGATATTCATGCATATCGGACTGTAACTTCTTGAATTATGGCCCTCGATTGTACGAAAAAATCGCGTTTTTCGCTTGTGGACCCTATAGCAGTCATAATTTTTATCCGATTTAAAATAATATTCAAATATTATTATTATTATTATTATTATTGTTCAATTTATATAGCGCTTCATTACACATGAGTATTTCTAAGCGCATTCACAACAAAACAGTTCAAAAACATTTTTGAAATAAGTATGTTTTTAAGTTAGTCTTAAAGCTCTGGATGGAAGAGGACTCTCGAAGAGTTTTTGGAAGATCATTCCACATTTTAGCTGCTCTGACGGAGAAAGCATATTCACCAGAATGCTTATTATATTTGG